AATCGAAAAGCATATTACAGACGAAGAATTGTTTGCATATGCTGTGATCAAAACGATTGCTCGAAACAAAAAATGCAGCGAATTTCTGTACATGGTGTATAAAGAAAATTGATACACTGCCATAGGAAGTAGGACATACATGGGATATAAACTTCAAGTGTCATTTCGAACCTCAAAATTCAGTCTCTGGTACAACGCGGTGCGGTCCATGCCATGCACCATTGCAAAGATCATTAAACAAGCTTTATTTTGGACTAAAAAACAGTACTAGCAAGGTTTCAAAACATTACAATATTGCTGATTCAAAAATACAACGGAAAATGAAAAATTACATAAACTTAAGAAGAAGTTATCAGATTTTCAAAATTGCAACTTTCCCGATCTCACAAACACGATTCCTTTACGTATAGAAGATCTGCGCATGCTTTATGTCCTTTGACATTTACTGCGACACCGTAAAACAAGACCTTGGAATGTGTACTGTGTGCAGCAACGCTTGAGAGTAAATCATGCGTCGACGACGATCCTGAGGTGAAAGGACGATAAGACAAAGGAAATTATGGGATTAAACTTGTCTAAAACAAAAAAAGTTTAGGAGGATTATTTTGGCTATGACTCCATGCTACAACACATACATTGTACTTTATAAAATATGCTTTCTGATGTTTAACCCACCTTTCTGTGGGTGATGACATGTTTTTAAATGATCATTTCTATGAATATTTCATAGTTTGAAATTTTTAGCCATTGGTGATGAAAGTGACATAATTTCTTGTAGCCACATCAAAATGTAATTTGCAATTAGCGACTGACGAACAATTAGCAAAAGCCTAAGAGATAACCCTATCACAGCTATTCTGTAGGGGAGGGGGGGTCTAACAATGTTTTGTTGAACGTCAAATTACTGGCCATACTAACGGCTGTTACCAAGAAACCAAACGTACCTTACACTTAATAAATTAATAAAGCTGCATTCCTATAAATAAAGCATTTCAGCAAAGGGGTTAGATATAATATTTGTACTTCAGTGGGCCATTGGGGAAGAGGCTGAGGCTATCCAAACAAATACTGAATGTAACTTCCATATCAAATATATCCATTTAAAAGACCCTATCATCCACAATTCCTAACTTCTATTCACATGAAGCCAAATCTATGCACAGCGAAAATAACTAATAAATAAAATACCAGCATATTTCTATTAAGTATTATTTCTTTCTTTTTTTAACAACAAATTTAATGATTTACTAGTATTCATTCTATGAAAAACCCAAACATATTAACAACACTTTGAAAATTACTGAAAATTCTACACACTATGTTTGGTTTTCCATTCAAGGTTTTTGATAACAATAGGCTGTCTGCCCCCAGTCATAAACGAAATCACATCTCTTTATCAATCAGTAACGTACTTGTCCTGAATTTTAATTCACCTACATTAACAGACATGACAATCTATTTTATGCACAGGTACTATTTAATTCCAGGGAAATGAAGCAGGGAATCAATCTAACCTGACTTGCATACTGTCTAAAAGACAAACTCAAGCATGTCAATTTAATATAAACAAATATCAAGGCTAGAATAGACATGGTTACAGTTCTATGGAATTCATGGTATATATTTATACCTAAGAGTTCAAAATCTCTATCTTGGGTCATTGAAATAAAAGCAGTTTATCAGAACTTTAAAAAAAAATTCAACTGATCACTAACTCTAGGTGATAACAATATGCCTTCCTACCCATAATATTATGTCATCAAAATGTCAACTGACCGTAAACATTGCAAACAAGCTTTGAATAGTTTCAATAGAGACATAAAATGTGTGTATGCTGATTGCTAAGATTTATAACTGTTCCTCTGATCTATGTAACCATGCAGTGAACAGTAGACAGGAAAGAATGGAACAATATTTGATGGACAAAATCTAGTTATCTAGTTATTCTCAAGAAGATCTTGGCAGTCGTTTGTGTTTGATTTAGACAAGAAGGAGGAGGTACTAGGATGGTAGTAAAAATAATTAAATTTTGTTGTCAAGTCAGTTTGGCACACCAACAACAAAAAAATGTAGCTCCAAACATAAACTTTCTCCCTTTTATATGCAAATATTTATGTCCATGGGAGGTCAAGGTGCAGTGGGTTAATTACAAACAAAATTGGCTATTTCCATAGCAACAAAAAGATGAAGAATTCTTCTGATACATTAATTCCACCATGTTTTATGATATCACTCAATTACCACATGCTTATTTAATATTTTATATGATGAAAAATGCCAGAGATCATATGAATATTCATGCTGAGTTGATAGTGTGAAATGTAGCTGTATCAGTTATAATAGTGAGCGTAATACGAGATGCACTGTCTTTGAGGTTCATTGGGGATTTACGCCAAATACAACACTGATTAGTTAGTTCACTTTCAATCTCTGCCAGCTTAAAATAATGTTAGAAACAAATTTCATCAGTCATTCCTTTATACAAACTGACTACGTTATTTTATTGATGAACACTTGTCACCCCTCTATTTAAAACTAAAAGCACAATGGTGAGAGCAGCTACCACCTATCTTCATTCTAGTACAGTTTAATACAATACAGATTTGCTTATATTTTTTTAGTTTCATAAAATAGAGAAGTAATACTGTTTACTTTATTTTTGCTATTTTCGCTGAAGGAATGCTTCAGTGAAAATAAAATCCAGTGAATATACTTTTTTTTTCTATGTCTCACATTCAACTCATTAAAAATCAGTGAAAATAAATTCCATAAAAACACCCAAAAGGCTTTTTCATCGAAAATTAATTCCAGCTAAAATAAATTATTTCACAGTAGTAGACTGTATAATACCAACTCTAAAGAAGTTCGGAATATCCCTATTATAAACAATCAGAAACATGAGACCTTGACCTGCTTTATAATTATACATGTTCTCACTGAAAAAAAGTTACCTTGGCCTGAATTATGCAATTTATACAAGAGGTATGCATACACCAGCCACCGGATAATGAACATAATGGTGTTGACTCATAAATAGACAATGTTACGTTTGATCGAATATTTTTATCTTTTGAGTATTTTTTTTCAATCGAGCAAAAAAAAGTTAACAATTTTAAGACAAGGAAAATTTCATAATAATATACATACATATAAACTTGTTAGATTTTGGAGCTAGTCTTTTTTTTAAACTAGGATGGAGCCAATCAGGAGAATTTGCATATACAGGTCAATATACCCATTTAACTGTCTTAAAATTTAAGCTTGCCTACTTCGAAATCAAATAAATTCAAGAATAGTTGACTTTTGCACTCAAATTCATTTTAGAACTCTAATGAACTTATTACATAGTGGCAAATGGTCACTGGTGTTGCCTTCATCATATTCGAGCCGGTGAAACATGTTCTTATGTGTTTTTATGTTCTCATAACTATTATGTAATAGTTTTACACCAGTGTTGATACCCCACCCCCTTCAAGGAAGTTTATACACCATTATTTGCAAACCTCTTTACGATGACATAATGTGTTCATCTATTTTTCTCCTATGCCAATGTGAGTTACATAAAGGGATACAAAAAACAGATGCGAACAGTGATATATGTTGCCTGGCAAGCTGCCTATGGGACATAATTTGCATAACAATGGGTCGTTTACAACTAACTCAGATTTTTACCCAAATCGTTATTATTATATATATATTGATATTTAATTTTCATACCATGTAACATATACATGCATCATTCGACGCTAGCATCACACAAATAGACCTGTAATTGTTTTTTTTACAATAAACTTCACAACTTTTGACAGTGACAGCGGCCCAGACGACCAGGTAGTTAATTTGATTGGGTTTATAAAACAGCTAACAGTTATAGTCTTTGACAAAATAGTAAACTACTATAACATCATCGGCAGCGGTACGTCGCCGCAGTACGACAATACGAACCAAATACATGACACTCGCTTCAAGGAACTAGGAAAGGAAAAATCCCACTTCCACACGTACGCACGTCTTTTGCAGCCGGCCGGCGCTAATGAAATATAGTATAGGCCAATGACCCGAACTTCTTCAAGTCTCATCGAACCCCGGATCGAACCACACTCATATACGATAAAGCATCAACTTGTACCGAAGGAATCAACATTTAGATATATTACCTTTGGGTCCTTTTCATAATAATGCTGCTGCGTTCGAATCCATCTTCCTACAAGTTGATCGCGAACCGTGTGAGCCAACGCAAAATAGTAATCCCGTTGTGTGGACACATTTCTGTCTTTCACCAACGTGTAATGCAGGTGCCGGTTAAATGTATTTTTGATGGTGGTAACGTTCTCTACTTGCGCAATACCTCTCACACTAATTTGCTTACGCTTGTCGACATCTGTCTGCGGGATTGATGCCATCCTGGTGTCCGATTTTAGGCTAAAAATTGGACGAACAAGACCCACAACGAACAAATTCTACAGTTCAGACAACCCTATGGTGACCTCGGCTGTCTACGGGTCACAGCGATTGCGCATTCGCGATGTTGCATTGGATTATGGGTATGTGCTTAAGTATTATGGCATGTGTGACAGCCACCTCCAGATTTCATAGTCAATTCAGTTTTCTTTAAAAAAAAAAATGTAATCATGCCAGCTTATACACAGTCAAAATGTCATGACTTTAAATCCTTAAGGTTCAGAATTCTGCTTTCACATGGCAACAGAAGTTCTTGGCAAATTATAGTAAATAAGTCCAAATTTAAATTAATGAACCTAAATGAAATATTTGTAATATATGTATATTGTATTTGCTCTATTTTTGCACATTTCTAACAAAGTACAAATGAACCAAAAATACTATTCATTGCATGATGATTCATTAAAATATGACTTATTTAAATTTGACCACAGACACACCTCTGCTCATTAGTGCATATAGTGCATGCATTACTAACAGAAAAAATAACGCTACATAGTTTTCTGCGTTGTGTCGTCACCGGAAGCGCTGTCAATGCAGCGTCAATGAGTTTTCTGTGCATATACATAAGTATTTATTATGTTAAATCAATCCAAGCAAGAAATTAATCTATCAATGGAAGCCATATGAAAATTGTTTTTGAGTTTGTATGTGGAATTTATGTGTTTTCTGTAAAGATTCAAAGCGTACGTATTACTCTGAATAGTAAATGAAAGATTATGAAATTTTATGTTTTTTATTTTAGCAATGAACCACTCTATGCAAAGTACCGCTAGACTGTAATTTTTCTCCCATAATGCATCATTATAACTTAACTTCCTCTTTTTGTGAAACAAAGAAAATCACTTATTATCTGCATGTCATATTTCTTTTGTGTTTTTAATTTCATAACAAGCGAACTAAATAATAGATATAGGACAGCTGTAGCATGTATTTATGAAGTTTACTGAAAAATAAATGGCTTGGGATCAAAATATTTTTTTCCAATATTCACTTCAATCACACGTTCAGTTTCACACACCTCAATAAACTGCACAAGTATAAATCCACTCTGTATTCAGATTACAAATAATTCAAATTTTCACACCCAGGTTTTCTTTGTCCCCCTCCCCATAGTAAATGCTCTATGGTTCAAGACTGAGATCAATTTGATTAAAATTTGATGTATTGTACAGACTTTCTGGCTTGGAGCATTATTATCATCGTTATGTTTTTCTTCTTCTTTTTTTTTTGTCCCATTTAAAATAATAAAATTATTCACATGGTTTGGACGCCATCTTTGATTGTTGACTAAAATGACCAAAAGTTTGGGCAGATGTTTCTCATGAATGCTTCAACTGATCAACTTGATATTTTGTACATAGCATGTATAGCTTAAGCTTTTTAATGGAAATATAAAATTGATTTTGATCATGCAGTCACAATGTTTGTTCACCATCTTTGATTTGGTAAAAAATAAAAATCGTGCAATTGTGTGTGGTGTACGTATTGGTCTGTTTGATATGAAATTTTGTATGTGCATTTCACTTCACATTTCTTTCCTTGAAATATCACATGCCTACATATAGGTCACATGGTTTGACCCCCATCTGGTGGGGAGGGGGGGTCATCTGACCTCATCAATATGTATAACTGTAATGTCTCGCGCATCGTTGCAGATAGAGAAATGCAACTAATGTCATAACAAAGACATTAAACAAAAAATGTGACTAACATAAGAGATGGCCATATATGACCATGTGGCCTCATTAATATGCATAATCATATGCCTCATTATATATTCAGAGGAACTTCTTGCTCACCAAACTAAGTAAATACATAGAACCAACTGCATTTTGACCTCATGGTACTGATCATCTAAACAAACCTACCGGTAGTAGCAATCACATGACCTAATAATTATAAAACAGATGCCTGAAAGCTTGAGCCCCGCTTGTGGCTTTAATTTAATTTATTTTATCTTTACTATTTGTTTTTATTATTTGTTTATGTTTTTTATCACATACTTGTTATTTTCATAACTATTACCATAAATCAACAAATAAATAATAAATCGAAATGAAATAAAATTGAGAGAAATAAACATAAAAAAATGTTATTACCAGTATATTCAGATTGGGTTGAAATGCATCTTTTAACAATGTTTTTTTTTAATGAGCTAATAAATGATGACATTTAAGACGTGTCATGTTATATTTAGAAATCTGGATATAGCAACTTAACAAATATGTAGTTGTCTTTTTGATGATCCATAAAATGACCTTGATTTTTGTCTAAAAAACAACTTTTTGGGTCAAAAAATAAATGGTCTTGAAAACTCTTAATCTGATATTAGGATAAGTATTTGCCATTGCTCAGATACCGTCAACAAATTAAACATTCTTATCTTTTACCCAAATCACCCAATTTTTACTACATGTATAACCCTACCCTACCCTACGAGTGCCGTATATTTCCTACCAACACTTTGACGCAACATTTTTCGATTTCCAATTCGCTAAAAACTTTGGAACAAATCTGAAAAACATTATGGGTTTAATTTTTGTGAATGGTGACAAGGTTGACTCTGGCACTTGAGAGTTAATTCCCATTTCTCTATTTTTGCCAACCAGAATCCAAAAAGGTGATAACAAATGATCAACACAGGTTCTGCTGCAATAACGTTGCCCATAATTTGTTTTATTAACATAAACATATACATGTATATTTAATAATGACAGCAGCAAAGTGTTGTTATTTTATCTTCAAAAAATGATCGGTTCTTACAAACCAGTCACTGAGCACATGCACACCCATGCAGAACGTATGCTATGAACATGCTACATGTATATATAGGAATACTTTTCACAGTCTTTACATTTTATGTAAATCACGTGTATTTATTTGACGTCCTAAAAATTAACAATTTTCACTAAATTCAAGTTGAAATTTTTACAGCATTATAACATTGACATTTTCCTAAAAGATGAATCTCATCCTTTAAGTAGTGCTGCCTTTATGGGTTTCAGCAGTGTTCCAGCTGTAAAAGTTATAGATCATCATCATGCATTTGCCAACAGCGCCACCAACAGTCAAATTTAAATCAAGTAATACCGGTAGGATTTAGATCATGTTATATACATCCAAATCCCCTTGGTAAAATTATAGGCAGAAATTTTCATATGCATACACAGCAATATTACAAAGTCATTTATATAACTGCTAGCTTCATTATAACAGATATAAACTGATATATCATTAGTGACTCGTATTATGATACTGAATTATAGACGCATGATTCATAAGTCATACAAATATTACATTTTCATATTTTATTTATTCATTTGTTGTTCTGTAGTAAAAATATAACGCTACAAATACTAGTACATACAAGGATGCTCTTCTGGGGTCATCAATGATTGGTTTCCAAACAAGATAATATATACCATACACGTGATAGGCATTTATATACCAGTAACAAAATCAAAGTACAAGTATCTTAGTGCAATGAACTGGGGAATATTTAATGCATTGAATATATAATTGGACCATGGTACTGTTATTGATCATAGGAATTCATTTTATGTGTTTGTTGTATCTTTAACATAAAATAATTCAAGACTGCGATGTAAAATCAACTGTTTACATGTATGCGGTTCTGCACTCGTTTGACTCAACACAACATCTGTCTATATAATCATAGTTCCATCTCTTTCAAATCCTGCTGATCTTTTGCTTTTTGGTTTTATCTCCTTCCATTCCAAAGGCATTTCTTTGTCCCAGTCCCTAATTTCAATGTCATCACGAACATCGCCTCCCTGCGGTGATGCCACAACACACGGAAAGTTATCGCATTCCTCACGGAATTCCACAAGATGAAGTCTATGTCTGTCGGCAATTTGTTGATGTGTTTCCTAAAAAAATACAAATATTGTTTAAAATTTTGGCATATAATACATTGAACATTTGGCATATAATACATTGAAACTTGTATACCTGGGACTACTATATTGCATAGTGATTCCCAGTAAGCACCTCATCATGGTCTCCCCCATTCTGAAATGGTACAACCAATCAGAATTGCAGGAACTCACCTGACTTGCTAACCCTTGAAAGACAGCATGACAGATGTTGAGGGGGTTTTTTGAACCGTACACTCTAGCATATAAATCAGTGATACCGGCCAGTTTACAGATTTCCTTGATGATTCGATGGCAGCGTAAACCATACCCTGACAAGACAAAACAAAAATTTTACGGTTCACGAAAAATATATTTATGTACTCAACCTAGCAAGAAAATCTGACGACAGAAGTTTTTGCCCAATTTTGACAAGCAGGTGGTACGAAAAAAAAACAAAAAAACATATAATGATTAACTTATACTGTAAAATACTTTACTATTGCTTGGAATTAATTTTTACTATTTTTCGCTGAAGGAATGATTCAGTAAAAATAAAATTCAGCAAAGATACTGTTGTTCCTATATTTTACATTCAACTTGTCAAAAATCAGTGAAAATAAATTCCATACAAAACACCCAAAAAGTCTATTCAGCGAAAATTAATTACAGCTAAAATAAAGTATTTTACAGTATTTGAATATATTTTAGATAGATCAAAGACTGTTACCATGGCAACCTGTTTTACACAACTTAAGATTTACCTTTGTTTTGTTTCTTCATTCTTATTCTTGTAGCTTTGAATCTTGTTTCTACATCATGGTACACTGAAAAAATAAAATAATATATTTACCTTTATAAACCAGCGGGACACAAACACACAAATCTGGAAGACTACTGTAAAATCTGTATTAGAAACCATGGCTTCTATTAAAATGGTACAATGCAATAGAGGGGATGCAGCTTCTATTAGAGCACCCACACATATGAGAAATGATGAATTTTTGGTTTTCAAATATTCAAAAATGAATGGGTGTGACTTCTATTAGGGATATGGCTTCTAATAGAGATTTTACAGTAATCAGTATTGCAGAGGGTAATATGAGAAATCCATTCAACAATTTGCATCTCCTTTCAAAGATGATGACGAGGCTTTATAAATGTGCATTGAGGACAGAAACAACAAACACCACCTCATCCTCATCCAATAAGATTTCAGTTTTTTCAAACCAAGAAGTTGAACGACCTTGCTAAAATAGATCAGTAGTATTTGCTTTGTAATACCAAAGTTTGCTTGTAATTTTATGTTTTTCTGATATGCAGTTTTAATTTAATCTCAAAAAGCTATGCAAACAATGTCACCAATTGTGTAATACAAATGTACCATCAATTTACATTAGACTGGACTTCACTGCTTCAATACATACAATCAAGTTTTAAATCAAATATCAATGTAATTAGCCCCTTTAAACATGTCAATCAGTATGCAAATTAAAAGTAAGCAATTAGAGTGTAATCAATCAATCATAGCTTTGGCTGAATGAAATGCTACTTATAAGGGACTAAGTACAATCAGCACTGATTGATGAAGTGATTATGCCAAGACAGCCTTCAGTACAGGATTTATCTCGAAGTTGATTAAAAATAAAAGCAAAATATAAAGATAAGACAATTTACAGGGACAATAGAATGCTCATGTAATCATTGATTTACTGTATATTACTTTTTTTTTATTATTATTATTTCATCTATATTTTTTTCAATATTACGGTATTACCTACATATATCAACAGCTTTTTTTTTAAACAATTGTCGTGCTTTAGATAGTAATTTTTGTAAAATCTGTATGTTTTATATATGTGTTTTAGCAGTTAGTGTAACCATTTTAATTCCTTCTGAGGAATTTTAAGTGTTTCAATAAACTTAAACTATTGATGTAAAAAGATGTAATCAGTACAACGGAAATTTGGGCAGCTTGTTGTTGTGACAGTTTGTTGTTTATGAAGATAAGATGTCTTTCAATCACACATTTAAGGTACTTTCAAAATGAACAATAATAAAATCTGACCATGAAAATATAAAGTTGCATTTGCAAGTCATGTGAAAACTGAATTCATGCACACTGAGGCTGGAGATGAAGCTTTGCAATTCCCAAAGAACTCAAGATTAACAATATAGCACGTCATAATAACCAGATATTGCTTTCTATCAAAGTATTAAAGGAATTGTTATGATCTTTATGCTAAGTGCATTATATTTCTTGCCACATACATGTAGTTCACTTTTTCCTCACTCGTCACTGGCAAGAAACACTGTATTATTCAATTGGAAATCTACAAGGTTCTGAAAAAAGGTTTTCCCCCCACATGGTGCTGCAACCACAACAATGTACACTGTATATATCATTGTGTAATTCAATATATACACACATCTGTTGGTTGAAAGTTTTGTTGCCAGTCCTTATACAGCGATGTAACTGAAAGAGAGTTTTTAATCCATAAAAAATCATTTGACACAACAATAATGTGAACACATTTGTTACTCTCCAGTGGGCTGAGCTAATTTCCATTTTATATGGTCTCACTCACGTGTATGGTTTTCATATCTTTCACAGTAATACAAACAATGGGCAGCGCTATTCTTTGCTTTCCTCAGAGCTGACATAATATCTTCAGACTTTCCAACTGCATACCCTACAGTGAAATAAACAATATCTAAATACACTTCATGCACAAGAATTTTGCATAACCAGCTGTTAACCCTTACTGTTCTGGTATACCTTTCGCATACCAAAGGTACACTATAAGT